CAAAGCAGCTCTGCCTCGGGCTTCCTGTAGTCAGCCGCTGGTCAGTTTCAGCAGCGGCTGAATCGGGGCCACCTGGGGTACAATATGTACCAGTTCTGACTTACGTACAAATTCAACTTAAGAACAAACCTACAGTCCCTATCTTGTACGTAACCCGGGGACTGCCTGTACTGCAGAGAAGTGCAGAAATTTGGGAATGTTATGATGAAAAGAGAAAGAAATGATGAACATATGCAAAATGATCAATACTCAAAAAGAACTAAGGAAATCAACTAGAAAAATTATATTGTCATCATCAGCATCTCTCTTAATATTTAAGGAATCACAAAAGAAAGTGGTAATGATTATACATTTACCACATCTAAATTCTCCACAGCACTCTATGTATCACTACACCTACTGTAAAGTTTATCCATAGCTGGATTAAGCATTCGGTTTGTAAACTAGTAAATTCCATATTCATCTGGAAGTAGTTTCACATACCTTATACAGCAGGAGTGCACTTCAGAAAACATAATGAACCTCCAACTTGTAAATGCTTGTTCTGGGAACACAATATGTTCCAGAATTCAAGTGAATTAAAAATAAAGAACAAATTAGCATTTTCCAATACAAGACAAAAAACAACCTACATTATCTGAGAATTAATTGGCCATAAAGAAAATAAACAGAAGCAATTCCTCATGCTGTTTTATATCGTTTATATTTCTAAACCATGAAACCTGTATTTTTTCCGTGAGTGTGAGTGTGAGTGTGAGTGTGTGAGTGTGAGTGAGAAATACTTCTAGATCCAAGGAAGAATGATTGGCCCCAGCAATTTGTTGCAGATCTATAACCACATGATTTAGTTTATTAGGGTGACCAGCTGTCCTGCTTTTATAGGGACAAACCTGATATTTTCCAGAGATGGGGAGTCCACAACCTCCTGAGCAATTTATTTCAGTTTTTGACTACCCTGACAGTTAGGAACTTTTTCCTAATGACCAACCTAAACCTCCTTTGCTGCAGTTTAAGTGCATTGCTTCTTGTTCTCTCCTCAGAGGCCAGGAAGAACACTTTTTCTCCCTCCTCCTTGTGACACCCTTTTAGATACCTGAAAATGGCTATCATGTCCCCCCTCAATCTTCTCTTTTCTAAACTAAACAAACCCAATTCTTTCAGACTTCCTTCATAGGTCCTGTTCTCTAGACCTTCAATCATTCTTGTTACTCTTCTCTGGACCCTCTCCAATTTCTCCGCATCTTTCTTGAAATGCGGTGCCCAAACTGGACACAATACTCCAACTGAGGCCTAACCAATGCAGAGTAGAGCGGAAGAATGACTTCTTGTGTCTTGTTCACAACACACCTGTTAATGCATTCCAGAATCATGTCTGCTTTTTTTGCAACAGCATCACACTGCTGACTCATATTTAGCTTGTGCTCCACTATAACCCCTAGATCCCTTCCTGCCGTAGTCCTTCCTAGATAGTCACTTCCCAGTCTGTATGTGTGAAACTTATTGTTCCTTCCTAAGGGTATGTCTACACTTGCAGCCTAATTCAAAATACCTATTAAACCTCATTGCAGGAGGAACAACAGGTATTTTGAACTAGGGCTTTATTTCAAACGCCCGTTTCACTGCAGTTATTCCGGGATTGTCAATTTCAAAAAATGGCACCTAGCCGGGAAGA